AGAATGTATTCGATAAAAACTAAATCAAAATTATAAATTACAAATTTGTGAATTGAAGTACTTTTTTGGGTGGGTGCGAGTCTTCTCTTTTAACACACCCACACCCTTCATCAAATTTAAAAATCGCACAATTACAAAATAAGTATTTCACTTTTGACAGGTCAAATTCTTTGTTGAGAGCTGTATAATTTGCTGAGCCATGGGTGCATTTCCATGTTTTACAATAAAGGAATTCATACTAAATTTGACATTACTTGGCTCGTCTGAAAATTCTGGTGCGTAATGATGTTTCACTACATGGAGGACAAGTTCAATGGCATAAGAAAGTTCATCAATGAAAGACCTATTTTCATGAGTCCTTTCATCGGTAGTGATGATTTTTCTGGCATATTCGTCGTTCGTCGGTTTGATTGAACGCATCAGGGGTGTGCCAATTAGGAATTGAGCTAGCAACGAAGTTCGTGGTCGTTTGATATTGAACTTTGAGCCCATTTTACTCGCTTATGTACCCATGATGTTTGTCTTGGACGACAGAGAAATGAACATTGTATAAAGACAACTAGAGAAAGAATTAGAATCATTGAGACAACTTTGCGAAGGTTGAAACTCAACAACTGTTTACGAACTTTCAAGTTTGGTTTATAAAATGGTAGAAATTAGCTAACATAAAACTAAGCACAGTTTTGCCCATCAACAAATGGTGTTTTGTCCTGCTTCGATACTCCGATATAAATATCTTTCGTTCTCGAGAAAAAAGTGTGATATTAACGATGACCTTGTGTCATATCTGCCAACGAATATTATGAATACTATTCTCTCTAGCAGATATCTGATTTTATGTTTAGAAGGCTCAGTTCTATGGGGATGAGGACGAGCATGTTTCTCTAGTAGAAAAAGGGTATTCAGTAGTTGTTTGATTTCGTTTAATAAATGAAATTACAGGTGAAGTAAAGACAAATATTAGATAAAATGCTTTTTTCCTCCACTTTCTTTTTCTCTTAAGTGGCTTCATGTTCGCGTAAAAATACCAAGCAAGTCATCGAAATCAAGTCAATAAACACACGCATAGAACACGATACGAAACGTAGGCTCATACGTAGAAAGCGAGATAGGCCAGTCGAAAACATATTAATCAACTTACACAGGTATTCTGATCCAGTAAAATTACGAGTCCATATTTTATCAAAGACCAATCAGATTTCGTGTCTTTGCCAAAATAATTCAAGTATCAAACACCGACAACACTGTCTTAATCAGTATCACGGTTTTCGCAACATTTGAAACTTTATTATAATGGTCCACTAAGAAATTTTTTCATTTACACCTGACTAGATACATGTCACAAGTAACAAACAGATTAAGAAAAATACTGCACTTCTTTTTTGCTAGCTTTGATTAGATATATCTGAAGCTTTCCGTTTAATCATGATACATGAAAAGAATTTCTCTCTATTTTAATTTTCATCGGTTTTAAAGGAAGAGCGAGTCGAGTAAATATTTGGATGGTTAAGGGTACCACAAGCAACCCTTATAGTTTTCGTCGTATGATTCATGTATAAAATCGATCGATAGCCTTACCATTCGATCGAATTCTTTAAAATTCCTCAGCTTGCAAGGAATGGAATTGAAAAGGATCTCGGATACAAGCTGGTCAGAGATGTTCTGATATAGATATTCTGGGTATCTTACTCGACTAATCAGAATATTCTACTGAAAAGTTATCTATTATTGTGAAGAGAGACACTTTGGTGTATCGACTTGAGGATGAGAGATGCAAAACTTATTTTCAACATCAAACTATCCCAATAGCTCGTCTATAGGGTGTTGAGACCGATATCAGGTGTACTGGTATTATGACACCACTCAAATGACTGGATGATGGAAAACTCAATCACTAGTGGTTCTCGTAAGCCGTATTTATTTTTATCTCTTACGGTCACGTCAAAATAATTCAAACGAAAAAACTTCACGCATATTAAAAATGTAAAAGTTTCATGGCATTGTGTTGGTTATCTTTGAATCAAACTTGATTAAGCTCAAATCATAAAATGTTTATTTCTTTTAAAAATGGATCGATTTTCAGCGATTCAACTGCAGTGAAAACACATGAGAGATCCATATTTTGATAATTTCTCTTCTATGATCTGTTTACGTTTTATTGACACTCAAAGTTTTGATGAGTCGATTGTGCATCTAGAAATGGTTGTAATGTTGAACCGGAAAGTCGAGTCTATACTTGGGATTGTGCTTGGTTATCATGTCAGTGAGGAAAGGCAACTGGTTCGATAAGTTGGTGTAAATTCTTCATCATTTATTCAAAACAACGTCAGGCCCGAATATGAGCAAGTTTACACAGAATCAATTGTGAGTAACGCATTATGCAAAATGAAAAAAACAAATACTAAATGACAAGCCATTCACTCAGGGTTCGCAACAAATTAATATTCTTTTAATAGTGTCGTTCAATGCTTTGCTGTTATTGTTGGCGTCAGTGATCATTCACTCTGACGTGAAACGAAGATTAAGAGGCTCCTTCTAGCCTAATTGGCTTAGGACATCTGTCCGAATAGCAGAAGAGACTCTGAAAAAAATAAAGTACCATGCCAAATGCCAAATGCCTTTGTCCTCTCTACGAAACGTGAAAAAAGTTTCAAATACGAGTATGAAACTTAAAAAGAATTTTGTGCATAATACGAAACTTAAAAATGATTTTGACTTGTGCAACGAAATCGGAAACATTTTCATGTTTCGCAGCAAACCTACGAAACTTTTGAAAAAGTTTCGATGTCGTTACAAAAATGGTTCCCTATGGTACCTTTTTTTCAGACTATGGTCTCTATTTCCATGAAGCTTATCTTTTCCTTCGTTCTGTCATAGAACATCAGTGACATTGCTTGTCCTATAAAATCTAATCGATTATTTTTAAAATCAACTTTTCTGGGGAAAATCGCAAAAAAACTCGATTAAAAGCAGAAATTTTTGATTAAATTCGAGTAAACTTTCTATTAAAATCGGTTTCACTCAATAAAAATTGAGAAAAATCAATTTTCTAAAAATGAATCTGAATAATCTATTAACAATTTAATGACTTTGATCGATTACTTCGAAAAATTGATTAATCATGGTTTTAATCGATTAAAATCGATGAATAAAAGTAATTGCGCAATCACAACTGAAACAATTTATATACCAGTTCCAACTTTAGTATATTTGCCAACCTTTAGCTTGGCGAGAGCTTCATGGTTCCTTACCACGGGGAATCAAAAAAAAATCGTGAAAAATTAGGGTTTAGGGTTCGAGTCTTGAGAAAAGCGCCTATCTTTGATACATTTGGTTCAAATCGATTAAAAATTAACAATAGATTAAAATGGCACTATTTTAATGCAAGTTCAATCTAATATTTAATCGCAAACATCCGTTACGCATTGAAAAATCTTTTAAAATGGATTTTGGTGATTAAAAATCAAATTAAAATCGGATTAAAATCATGCCATTTTAATTTATTTTTAATCAGAAAAAGATCGATTAAAATTGGATTTTTTCTATAATGTTTTTTATATGAGGTGTTGGGAATCGTGCGACATCTATTGATATGCAAAGACATTGCATGAGTTCTTATTCAACCAACAGTAAGAAAGAAAAAAAAAATTATCGACAGTGACCATTGGCCTTATCTACAGTAGAAAAATAATTCGACATTAAATTCGAATTAAATCTACGTGTGTCTACACTTATAAATTTAATGCATCAATCAGTACTGAAAATGATCACTATAATGTAGTTAAAGTGAATAATTGTAGCACGTATTGATCAAATAAAATGTCGGTTTCTGTCTCACTTTCATAATTAATAACTGACTAATGACATTTATTAACAAAGTGTCTACCATTCTCTAGTCTATTTCTTTCAACTACAGAGTCTTTAAATATTGTAATATTGCTCATTCTTATACTTCAGCCCCTATTCACTGATATTCTATAGTTCGTCATTTTGAAAATATCTATCTATCGATCATATAAAGTGACATCATCGAGGCATATTCATCATTTTAACTAGTGGATCAAGTTCTTTCTCGATTGGTGCATTAAACCTCGATTAAATTTTCAACCAACCACGTTTCTTAATTCAGCAATAACTTTTCTAATGTAGGCAGGGTCATTGTTGGCAGGTAAATTGTTTCAACGCTTTTCTTATTACTCTATCTTTATGGTCATCAAACACTGTGTGTTTAACATTGTGATCAAGACAAATATTGTTTTCTTGTGCGTGATTAACGAAATCCATTCTACTTAATTTTTAGCCGTTTTTTTTTCTTCTTTTTCCCTCGTTCTAAAGTAAAGAAAAAATTTACGCATCCTTTTTTATATTCTGCTTACTTGCTGAGAACCATGGTTTTCCTTCAGCATGGATGCTAAATGGCCAGATCATTCTTCACTACAGACAACTATTCTCAATCAAATACTCTTTAAACTCAGGCTTAGCGGTAAAAAAGGATGCAAAATCCAATGAAAATGTTTTCGAAGGTTTTCTAGGTAATCTTCAGAAATCTTTCCTCTAAAAATCGGGTTTACATGTGATTTTGAGCCTAGAAAGCTTTTGCAAGGTTCGACATAGATCCAAAAATGTTCTGACTATTCTATATTCTAGCACTCCCAAATCGATGTTTCTAGAACCAGTTAAGCATGCTGAATGCAAAAACAAAATTCGTCCGATCTTTTTAAAGAACGTGAATATCTGAAACAAATAATTTTAAAAAAATAAGCGTTTTTTTCAAAGATAAAAAGTTTGAGTTTTCTGAATTTTTTCACACAGAAGGTAGTCAACCTATCATAAGAGATGGTCTTAAGTCAAGCATTGGCCCATAGTCGAACAGACTAATAAGAAAATGTTTTTAATCGTTTTTTCACAATTTTTTTTGAAATATCACACAATAAAAAGACCATCGTGTTTTTTTTAGTAATAAAAGTTTTTTCGGGTGGTTGTTGTTACAGATTAAATTAATGAAATTTAATTGTTATCGTCTGATACTTATGAACAATAAACTGCTTCGCTTTCCTCATGTTCGACATTCACACATCCATGATGAAGTGCTGCCAATGAAAAAAATGAATATTACATCATATGCTTCAGTTGGAAATCGTAATACAATTATATCAAAAATTGAAACAATAGTAACAATTTGCGGTGGTTACGTTGATGATTTCAATTTTTTCTCGGATTTGGCTGTTACTCTACGAATATTGGGTATTAGACAACCAGATACATTAAAACAATTTTATCAACGATTAAAATTAGATACTCAAGAGTTACGATTAGATGATGAAACAATCAATGTATTAAACAATGGTTCTTCCAGCATTGATCGATACTCACTTTTCATCCTATTTCAAATATTATTCATTGATGCTAAAGGCGATTTAAGACAAAATGTGCCTGCTGTCAATAGTTGAAAAAATTCAAAAGAAAAATTGTGGTTGATTGTTGTATATCTTAGACTATACAGTAGACTACCGATTTTTTGTCGTCGTTTCTACTTAATCATATATTCATTTCGTTATTGAACTCAGCCTCACAATGCAATGGAAGACATTTTTTACGATGAAAGCTTTTACGCTTTTTGTGTATACTCTAAAAATAATCCTCATATCAGGGTGTGGGTGTGTGTGTTGGTATGACTGGAGAGAATGCGAAAAACAACACTCACACCGACGCCGACACCCACACCCACACCCACATCCATCTTTTTCCAGATTAACTATGGCAAATTATAAAAAAAAACAACAGATAAGTTTATTCAAAAATTGATTGCGATCTTAAATTATGAAAAATGTAGACTAATACTTAATATCATATAAAAACAATCTATTTTTCAATTAGGTTCTTCGTAAATTTCTATGTCAAAATAGTAACAGTTTAAAAATATCTATTTTTTGTGAAGTGATACTAAGTCAAGTCATACAGAATGAGTAACGATCTGTGTACCGCATATTAAATGAAATACATATAGAATAAATTTTTTTTCTGCCATCACTCGTCATCTACTCTATCCTTCAATTTTTTACTGTTGCTATGCGCTGTCCTTCTCATTGGAGCGTTTATTCGAAAAGAATTTAAAAAAACGAAAAAATGGGAGACGAAAGCAAGCAAATAACAGGACAGAATGTGCTCGCGTATTGCAAAAATAATAAACGAGTCATTCGAAAAATAAAGCAAATAGTAACACAACAAAAGTAAAAAGCAGCAACAGCACGTCATTCAAACAACGGCGAAGGTTTTGCTGATAATTATTTGATTGTCGTGAGTAAAATATTTTCAAAAATTCGAAAAGGAAACGAAATTATTTTAAATCTCATACCCAAAGTACCAACACGTTCCAGATATCGAAAACTGTTGAGACAGCTTTTAACATCATACTGATGAGCAACTTTACTATAGTTGCTCGACTTGTCCACGTATGCCAGTTTCGACTTCCTCTCATTGATTTGTCAACAGTTAGGGATATACTCAGTCCAAACCTCTCGATCTTGATCGTCTCTAACAAGGTCACGGCTACTTTCGGCCTTGCTATCAATAAGCGTCAGACTCCATTACAACTGATGTGAATGCCGTGTGTGGGTAAACGTTTGAGAGTGGGTGGTTGGGTGTGTGAGTTTCTGGGCGTAGTTGTACGCGTGCATAGGGTTTCACCTTGAGATCCACAACTACCTTCAACGTGCGGATCCTACCATATTATGCTTGATCTAGGTTTCCGGAAAGCTCAATCATTTTTCGGACACTTAATCGATTTCCGGAAACTAAATTTGTT